GTCTTGCTACGATAACTCCATTATTAATTAAAATTCGGTATCCTACATTTTTATAACCTACAAGAAGTCCTATATATGCTTTTCTATCCCATTTTGACCACCTTTTCAGGAACACGTACATATACTCTGCTTCAATACACTTTCAAATGTTGAACATTAGGTTTCATACCAAAGAACAACTTGAAAGGAGTTTTTAAATCAGCAATATTTGCAAGTGTCCTGTTCGTTAAATATGCTGCTGTGCAGATAACTTTTAGCCAAAATGTTCTGTTTATTCTAGCTTCAGATAACAAACATCTAGCAATTTCCATAATACGTGTAATGTATATCTCAGCAGTACTATTCAATTCATGTACATTCGGTGGATAAGCATCTGTAATAATATATTTTTTTTTACTGATTCAAAAATTTTTTCATTCACGTATTTATTTCCGATGTCTCACCTCAATCGTTTAATTCTTTTCTTAGTAATATTGTCAATTTCTTTTTTATATGACACAAAACAATGATAGACTTGATCTTCTAATTAAATTAGATATACTCTAGCTACTTTGCTATAGTCAGTAATAAAAGTTGAAAGATATTTTTCCCCGTTTAATGCAGTAGTATTGTAAGGCCCATTTAGATCAGTATGTACTATTAATAAATTTTCCTTGGTCTTTTGTCTATTACTATTAAATGGTAAATTGTGCACTTTATTTTCCATACAAACAACGCATTTCATATAATCACTCTCAAGTTCTTTTGGCAGACCTTCCGCTAGTTTATTTTTTCATAAAACAATTGAAACATAACAACAACATAGATCAAAAATTTACATGTCCCAAAATACGATGCCATCTTTCCTCTAAAGTAATTTTATCATTATTTTTGGTTCTTATGGTATTAACGGTAATCTTATTTTTATTTTGAATTTAACTTTGCATTCTGTACAATTTATCTGTTTTATACGTGATATCTAAAAGCACACCCTGACTGTTATAAATTTTTGCCGTATTATTTTGAGCAACAACTTTATTTTTATCGGTAACTTTTAATAAACTTCATAAATTTTCTCTTACTGCTTTAACATAGTACACATTAAACATTTTAATTCTCACTGATGTATCGTACACTTTAAAATAGCTTAAAATTTTTCCTATTTTAGTCACTTTTAAACTTCTACCATCTTCTATATTTGCGTTAACCAGATTTTTTAATTTAATAATATTTACGAAAAACATCATCTCAATTTACCACATGATCAGTGCAACTGCTATCTAAAAGCCAGCCAATACGTTTACCTTGCGTTTTGCTATGCATTGCAGTAGACTCGACGATCTTCACAGAAAAGGAGCCTAACGAATTGTTGCCTTGCTGCCACATTTTTTGTCGCGATGCGTAGCCTCTGCTTTGATGCTCCTTATTGCATGTTGTTTCCACGAAATTATTGGCATCCGCCCCTCTGTGCTCAACCTCTATAGCCAGAATTGTTTACATTCTGGCAATCTTTCTTGTCCAATTGCACCACAGCCGTCACAGGCTCTTTCTTAGCTTTTTTTTTTTGTTTCTCATGATTTTTTGATTTTGACACGAATACATTCGATTTTACGCTTACACCAGCACTTTCACTTTTATTTTTAATTTCCAAAATTTTTATTTCATCGATCACATAACCAACTGCTTGATCCTACAGTCTTAACATATCTAGTTAATTGACAATATAACTACACGATTCTCGTAACGTTTTTAATAGATGATTTAACTTTTATCTTCATTTACAGCAGCACCAGCTGCTTTCGACTTATTTACTGATTCTTCAAATTCACTAGTAAAAACTGATGATTCTTGAAAATCCTTTAACCTGAGTTTTTCCAGCTTATTCCAGTATGTAATCTGCAAGGCCATCAATTCCTTTAAATACATGGCATCAAACTTTTACATTATTATGAATGCCGTATCCAAATCACCAACAAATTCCAGCTGCTTATTTAAAATAGCACTGTAAATATAATTCATGGCCTTCAAGTCATTCTCGGCCCATTCATCTTCTTTGTCCGTCGATACTTTTTCTCTTTATATTACCGTTGCATACTTCGTTAACCTTAAAATTATAGTTATCTTTTTGTTCCAGTGTGCATAATCATGCCCATCAAACATAGGTATCGAAATTTCCGCCATTCTAGAAATGCTCGCTTTCTCTCTTGGATCTTCTAGATTTTTTGATTCTTGTCTCTCCTTGAAAATGTACTTTTTCAACAACATCATGTCTTTGATCACAGTTACCAAAATTTTTCTTAATTTTCTCAGTGTTGGATTGACACTTTTTTTTATCTGGTTGCGTATAATCTCTTCAATGTTTTAAGCTTTAATGGAACACGTGAATAAAAACGGTACACTTTAACATGAACTTTTTATTTTAGTGTTGGATTTACACTTTTATCACATGTAATAACCGAGCTGCTACCATGTTAATATATTTAGGAATTTATTCCATGAATCAGGAAATGAGCAAACACACCTTGTTATAGTTAATAAGATTCAATAGAGAAAGAAAAAATTATAAGAACGATATACATTACAGCCAACGACAAACGGCTCCTTGCATGCGTGACCGCATACTTCGATGGACAGACGAGATATCTCTTGTACCCACGTTCAAATGCTAAGCATCCGCATATATCACATTATTGCAGCTTGTCAGAGATGGCGTCCCTAGTTGATCTTTCATACTTGCACATATATATCCGTTCGTATAAATGTACAATATATATACGTAACATGTACAACTGAGAGTAAGATCATCAATCGATTGCATTTTAATTTATTTTTAAGTATGAAGTTTTTTATGAGGCAAATTTCATTGTTGATATTTGTGATAAACTGTACATAAAATTTTTTACACTACCTGAAAGGTGGACTATACATACGAACAACTAGTAGTTACTATATGTAAGCTAATAGTAGGATCACAAGTCAATGTGTATCCACTTCATTTCAATTGATATTTGAGTTTAAACTTCTTGATACGCTAAGTTTTTATTTGCTAATAATAATTATTAACTATGTAAAAAGTTGTTGAATAGAGTATGTAATTTTATGACATGATACTAATACATAATTAATTTCAATTTCACTTGGTTATACGGTAATATATATCGTGGAAGTATCGTCCGGTCTAATCTGTTTATTATTGTAAGTTAACTAGTGACTCCCCTGTCTTGGCTTTGCCCAAGACTGCCCTTCGTATCTATTTAAAAATCTGGATAACGTTTGTGATTAGTCATCAGGGTTGTAACGGAAAATTTATTTCTCACGTAATGGACTCATTTTTTGTAGATTTTGAAGCTGCTGTTTCAATCTTAATAAATGTTTTGCGTCCATTTTCAGACGCCTACAATTATAAACATTTGAAGTTTCTCTTTCAATTCGCTCTCTTGCAACTACAGGCATGGTTGAAACTTTTGTGAGCCTTAAGGCTTCTTTTTGTCAACTGTCCATTGCCCTTAATAGGACCAGTGAGCTAAACTGTTTCTTGACTGACGTTTCCAGCAAATGTGACTACCTAGAAACATCAGTGTGATCTTCTCTGGCCTGCTGTTGTAGCACTAATTAGAAGGACAATTACAAAGTCTGAAGCGTTGGAACTAAATGTAGAGCTTTTTGCCAACGTCTCCTAGTGTTACTCCAAAGACTTTTATGTTCAAACCAACTTTTTTTTTGCAGAGCTCAGTTGTTTTGGTGATCTAAGGTAGGGAGATTGGTTTATGAATCTTACCTCTTGAAAACTGTCCCATTTGCTCAAGTTTATTTTTCCTTCATAGCTTTACTGTTGGGTTCATCCAACGCAGACATCGAAGAGGATTCGTGATTCCTCGTTGAATGCTTAGAGTTGAGAGGATAATGCAGGATTGTTAATAGTCAGGGTATCCAACTTCGTGGCTTTAAATTTATTTATTCTAAGATAGTATAACAAAAGTTTATGTCTCATGAAAATGAGAAAAATAGTATAATTCGCAGTAACCCTACTCTCTTGTTTTTGGTAGAGCCATAGTAGAAGGGCAGTGAGATGTAAAGCTTGAACCTACTACTCACTGACAATTTCTCATTTAGACTGTTCACTGACTCTTGATTGCTTATTATTACCTTAGCTCTCTTTTTCTTAGTATAGCGTTTCTCCTTCTTGTATCAAGTAGAGAAATATTTAATTCTAATTTTGGACTAGACGAACAATTTTTTCCGTTACATTATTAATATACAGGCTATTCAAATGAATGCAAATTTGATATATATTTATGCTTTTTTTCATTCCACCATAATAAACAGAAATCGTTACTTTTCTAAAGTACAGGAAAAAGTTGTATTAATATTTACATTTTAGTTTTAAGACTTTTTTTCTAAGTTTAAAAAAGTTTTGTAGATATACTTATTTTTTCAGCCTAAAGATAACCCTTACGTTTGCTTCATTGCTAAGTGTGACGTTATAATTATCCAATCATCACCACACATTTTGACATGATATTTACTTTATATTTAATTGATTTCTTACAAGATTCTGACTTGGTTTTTGTTTGATTGTGCCCTGGTGCTAACTTATTTACTTACACCTGGTAATGAATATTAACTGATTCTGCAATAAAAATCTAGTTAAAATGAACTAAGAATTATGTGCAAATCTGATATACATTTGGTTTATACCATATCTGAGCATGAGGTGAGTATAAGCTGAGTATTATTGACCGTTATAAACAAACTTATCTCTGTGTACAATCAATACTTCATGTAAGCTGGCTACAGTTCTGCACTTATTAGTATTTTCTTATATGTAGCAGCTACTCACATAGTTATTAATCAATAACTAAATATTTTTACTTATGCTCATTAGGTATTTGTTTCCAAGGATGATAAACTACACTATGTACGATTGTCGGCAATGTTGTGGCCTTGGCTTACAAGTTAGTGTAGAATTATTTAAAAGAAACCAAAGTCTAGCCAAAGTAAAAATATTATTTATACTTTACCTTTTGTTAAAAGCCAGAGCTTTTCCTATATCTGAGCCTCCAGTCACAAGAGTTGCAATTGATCCAGAAATGTTATGACGATTTAGTATTCTGGATATGATTCTAGTCACAGCTATAGATGATAGTGAAGTTGTTGGTGAGCTTTTCCAAACTGTGGTGTTTCCACATACCAAAGCAATTGCATTATTCCATCCAAATACCTAAAATAATCCAACAGTAACGTTCATTTAAAATTTTCAACAAAAAATATAGATGCAATAAAGAAGTATTTGACAATGTAAAAAAAAAAAAAGATTAAGTAAGTATTGACTAGACGTTACTTTTACGCGTCATACTTCAAAGAAAACTAATTTAATGAAATAAAACCTTATTAAATATATTTCGTCATTTTTTTCACTATTTAACTGTAAATTGAATAGTAATTAATCATGATGTATCCTTATATTCTTTCAAATAATGTTACATACGACAGAACTTGACACCAAGTTTTATTGATTTGTATGTCAATTTAATTTTCTTGACTATTTTTACTATTTTAAATTTAACTTGAGATAAAATCTAACAAAAAATGTATTCATTATGACTAAAAAAAAAATTTAATCAATTTACTGACACTTTCAACTAAAAAATCATACAGCTATAGAATACTGCCCACAAAAGTATATACTTACAAACGATTTTGACGTTGCCTAAAAATATGGAAATATAGTTTTTAATAAGATTTCAAAATAGCTTATACATTTTTCAAAACAAAAATCTTATTACTAAAAAAAAAAAATGACTTTCCCAANAATTCATACTAAATAAAGTAAATGGAGCAACATTTTTTAACAGCTTACAAACATTTAATATTTATTTTCCGGCAAGCTTCACTTCTTTAACATAGAATTACTTCAGCCGTCAATGTTACGAACTTAAATTTATAAAAATATGTATAAAAAAGTTAAGGCGATGTTTTATATCCTTACTTACTTAGGAGTATTTTACTTTACGAAGTCAGTATAACTAGTTATTTTGAGCTCATCTTTCTTTTCGGTTGAGATACAAGCCCTTTCGTATATCTTTTTTCTAAACAGTTGTTTTCATTAAATATGTGCCATCGTCATTCGTTTCTGAGGCTATTTTGTAGCTTAAAAGACCTAAGGTATCCACGGAGCAATAGCACTTATGTGGAAAATTCAATTTTTTTTACATGGGCTCACCAGCATTTTTAAAACCTTTGAGGTAGGAAATATTATTGTTCTCACCAGTGGTACAAAGTTTAACTGCCGCTTTGTGCCCTCAGGTATCACTTTTTGCCCTTGTAATCACTGTAAGCTCACGGGCAGAATTTTTTTTAGCTCTCTTTGGGCCCAAAGTATTTTTTTGCATCAGGGCCCAAAGTAATTTACTGGGTACAAAGTATCTACGGGTACAAAGTCGCACTATGTGCCCTCGGTAGAAAAGCATTATACCTGACTTGGGCACCATCATACAATACTGCTGTCTTTAAGTGCTCGTGCTTCTACTTTGCTTCCAAGTGATGTAATGTACTATTAAAATTGTGTAAAAACGTTAGTTTAAGAATAACATTTTTATTAGAATCAGGCAATAATAAAAAAAAAATTTTCACGTGAGTCTCTTATCTCTTTTTAATATAGGTATGAAAAAAATTATTTTAAACCTAAGTTTATTCCTTGATATGAATAACTTTCAATCGTTTATTGTGTTGTAACTTAGGTCAATTATTCGTTTAATTTTTAGTTTTTGGTATTTTTTTTACAAATGAAAAGCAACGCTTCATCTACTTAATGAGTTTATGTTACTATTTAATTTATACTTTAAATCTTCTGCAAGCTAATAAAATATATTGACAGTGCAATATATTAAAAAAATATATTTAATCCACTTACCGTGTCTCATTATAAGGCTGTTTTAAGGTTTGGAAGGTTTGTGTAGAATGCATTACAGAAACAACTGTATAGTGTCAGTAAACACACAAACACACACACACACACACACACACACTGCACACACGTACGTGCGCGTGTGTATATATATGTATATATTTCTATATTATATAGTTGTTTTAGGGTATTCAGCCTCTAACCCTCGTCCACCCTCTTCCACCCCCCTCTATCCCCCATCCATCCCACTCAAATTAACTTGTTAATAATTTGTTTTCTTGCCGTTTTAATAATTCATTACATCTTTTTCTATCTCCCTCAATCTTCCCTTATAATTACGAATAACTACAAAATATAAGTCGATTGTAGATAGATAAAAATTTTTTTTAATTATTGAAATATTTTGGACCAAACAATACTACATTTTTTCAATTATATTACTAAAAGGGATAACAAGTCATGGAACATTTTTAATTACCATTAGATTTAAATAACATCTACGGTTTTTTTAAATACGAAACTAATCAAAAAAATTCCGAGAAGTAAATGTAATTATTGAACACGAAGCTTCAATGATCTCTAGAAAAGCCTCGGAAATAGTGAATAAAACTGTGAAAGATTTATGTAATAATGATTTTCCATTCGGTGAAAAATGATTCATTTTAGGAAGCGATTTTAGACAAATATTTGCAGTGATAATGCATGGGTATAAAAGTTCTACCTTTTTATTTTACAGTTTTTACATAATTACTCAAACAATGAAGTATTCATTTCTATGGAAACACTTGCAAAGGGATAAAAAACTGATAACATTTGTTACCAAATGTATGAAGATGGTACAAGTAGCTGTTTAAAAAAAGTCATTTTGACCCCACATAAGGAACGCTCGTTTATTTTAAATAATCAAATTTTGAGTTTTATTAAGGGGCAGTACATACTTATTACAGTATAGATTATGCACAATATAAAGGTAGTGATTACTTTAAAGATACTACAAAAAAATTTTCCAAAATAAACTCTAAATTATATACATGAAGGATAACCCCTTCATGTTTTAAATGAAAAAATACACGCTATTGTTACGTTAATAAGAAATTTGAGTTTATTTGATGGTTCACGCAATCGCACTAGACTCCGTATAACAAAAATATTAAAATATACTTTAAAGGCAGAAAAAATAACTTGTCAAGAATATAGTAAGAGAGATGTCAAACCGAGAATCACTTTAAATATCAGTAAAAATATTTTTACCGTTAATTGTACACAGAAAACAGTTTCTATTAGTTCTAGCTTTTCCTATAAAAATCAGTAAATTACAAGGTCAAAGTTTCGACAAATTAGGAGTATGCATGTCAATGTTTTTTCTAAATTATGCTTCTTCTTATGTTTAACGAAATTTTGTTTCAAAGGAAATACAANAATTTTTTTTTTTCTGTGAAAAATTTAGTTTTGAAATAATTTTTAATTTATTTTAAAAGTTAAAGTTTAAGCAAGTGGAAAAAAAAGAATAACTTATTTATCACGATACTGTATTTTTAAGTTCTTACTTAAAAAAAAAAACAGAAATCCTGACACTACAAAACTTTTTATGTATGTTATAACTTTGACCTTTATTCTGAAAAATCTTAAAGCGTAGTTAAAAATTAATCTCACAGAATTCAAGAATAGGACATCCTTTAATTTTGGATTCAAAGATTTACTATTACAAAAATCGTCCTAAATTTTAAACGCAAAATTTATAATATTATAAATTTTTTAATTCCATTTTCAAAAACAAACACTACATTGTTACTGTGAAATTGTTTTTATTTTTGTATAAATAACTTAAGACTTAGTTAATTGTGTAGACTGTATGATTCTCAGTATATGAATATTTTGAATCTTATTTTGAATTAATTTTTGTAATCTCATTTACAAAAAAATTATTGTAATTGTAATTGTAATTTGTTCTTAATATTGATTAAAAACTATTTTAATTAATATTTTCATACACACATATACATTCTGCTATTACAAAAAAATCTTTATAACAAAATTTTCATCTCCGAATACCTTAACTTTAAGTCTATGTTGTATCGACCATATGATAAAATATAGTCATACGAACCTGTATGTTGTATGTATATTATAATTAATGAAAAGATTTGCAACATCATCAAGAAAAGTAGAACAAACTAAATAAAATAATGTTACAGAGATAAAGAGATAACTTGCTAGTTGTACTCAATTATATAACAAGTTCGTCATTCCGTAGATTAAGTTAATGCTTGGGAGGATGGCGCACTGGAGGCACAGCCCCACTAGCATATATATATATATATATACAAGTAGGTTTTCGCATCCCTGTAAAGCAAAAACGTAATGTCACAAAAAAAAATTTGTTGAAATTTACAAAATTAACGTAGAAGCATTTTTAAATAAAATAAAAAACTTTTGTTAATTAAAAAATTTTGAATATTGTGGCTCTATACAAAGTAATAAGTACATTTATGACCACATTCCTACAGGTTAAGTAAATAATGAATCATTCGTGGAAGTCCAAAGTGTTGATAATGAGAAAAAAAAAATAATAAATGAAATTATATTAAGAGTCAATAC